CATTTTTCTGTTTTAAAGGGTTTTTACGATATTTTTCCTACTTTAATCAACTTTGATGACGATTTTATTATTTTCAAGCAGCCCTCAGACTTTAAGGTGCAACATACATGAAAACCATATAGACTTAACTTGTCCAACTAACCAAAATTGTTTACACACAAATGTATACATCTTCATCAACTCACTCAAACAATCACTTCACATATCACTTCCATTTATGAAATGTCATTTGCCTCATCCACATAGTTGATCCATGTAACTCTACTTAGTGGGATGATACTTAGTTGTTTTTTCCATGAATCGATTATCTTTCATAAGTCCTTTTATGTTTGAAATATTCAATTGTGATTCTCTCATTTGTGATTATTACTAATATTTTTAAATCACAAACTTAACATTTAACTCACAAGACTCCACAATTCATAACCGACCCACAATACTCTCTCATTTACTAAAGTCTATTATAAACCATCCTTGATATGTCAAAATCATTAGCCTAGCAAAGATGTAGCTTTACGAGACAAAGGTTTATGTTATTTTTTTTCTTCTAAATTTTAATAGCCATTATAGAAAACGTGTGTTGCAAGACATAAAATATAATATAATAATTGCAACACTACATACAACAACAACATGCATAAACACCCTAAAATATAATATAAGTATATTTTTGGTGATAGAATATTTAGTTTTTCTTTTTACTATTTGATATCATGTACTCACATTATGAATAATAATAGTTAGTATATATAATAATAGTTAATATAAAAATTTGTAAAATTTATTTAAGATCACCACCATAAATTAGTTTTATAGTCAATAAAAAAATATCAAATAAAATTATTAAAAATAATATAATAAATATCTTAAACTCTAATAATTTTGTGTGTGTTAGATCTCATAAATATAGAGAGCATCTCAGATTGCCATTGTGCACTTAGATCATACGATGATTCTTTAGTTTTAGATGTTGGTATGTTTTGTTGTGTTTTGGTAATGGAAAGTGTTCACATAAGCTATTGAATTAGATTTTATGTTTTTCGTGTTTAATGTGCACGTGACCAGTTTTTACCAATTAGCCCAGACTTGGTTAGTAAGTGAGTACTATTTGCCTTTTACATCTTTAGTTAATTGAGTAACAAGGCTGACATGAATTATATTCCTTCAAAAAGTACTTAGCCCACCTTTTCACACATCCCTCAAACTTAACATTTAACTCACAAGACTCCACAATTCATAACCGACCCACAATACTCTCTCATTTACTAAAGTATACTATAAACCATCCTTGATATGTCAAAATCATTAGCCTAGCAAAGATGTAGCTTTACGAGACAAAGGTTTATGTTATTAATGTGATGAAAAGTTAACATTTTTCATTTGATGTTACAACAAACACATATTACTTATACTACTCAAAGACCCTAGCCTCTTAAGAAATATTCTTAACCACATCCAACCCCATGACCCACATGATTATGATTAACATTTTGTCCTACCCTGTTTAACACCTACTTAGAACTTCTAATTGAGTCTATGCTTGGATTCAATGTATTAATAATATAAAACTCCTTCAAACCCCCTAATCTAACATTGGTTCTTATTATTGTAATTAAGGATGTCATAAAAGAAACTTCATAAGAATAACAATCTCCTACCACCAAGTTTCATCCCATTAGAAAGGTAAAAATGAAAGAAGTTATGAACCAACGATATCATTATAGAGAAAACGAGCATCTGACACAAAGTTTGAAATTCATCTTATCATTGCGACAAGTTAGGCCATGCTAGAAAACTCAAAATGTAGTGAATGCTCAGATGATTCAAACATAGTTAGAGACGAAATGAAGGTAGATTTCAAGCGTGTAGGCTGAGGAAGAGGTGAGAAAAGAAAACTCCACACGTCTAGCGAATATGCCAATTGATCTTACCTAATCATAAAGGAAGCAGTGGCCTGCCACGTGTCGTGAGTTGCTGCCTTCACCTGTGTTGTGGAGGAGAAAGAGGGGTGTACCTGCAAGATGCTCCGATGCTTAAGTAAGTACCAGAACTAGAGAGAGTAAGTACAAAGAGAATGTGTGATGAGTAGAATACTTGACCTTCTAGTGAAAGAGGGTATTTATAATATACCCCCAACGCAGAGCCAACGATTATATTGCATTGGGGCGGATTGCCAAGCCTAACACAAGTAACTGTCAGGGCTTACGTGGTGTAGTGAAGACCAGTACGTGGTCTTCACCTTGGATCAACTGTCCCGTGATCTTCGAAAGGTGGGCTGACCATCTCTTTCGAAAGTGGGTAGTTGTCTGATGATGTGTCCCCATGTATGGGACACGTGGAGACGTGGGGAAAAGCGTGTGAGCTTCCCCGTCAAGAGGGTCTTCTGCCCGACTGGTGATCCTTGTTGAGGCTTGTGCCCGACAGATGAAATTGGGCCTTGTTGGGCCTCCTCAGCATAACACTGGGTTGGGCTTTCCCGACTAGAGGGCAGGTCCTGGCCTAGTCCAGAACACCAACGTTTTACAAAGGATAGTGTACCCTTCAAATATGTTTCTTTTGTAAATGATAAGGAAACCGTGGACACGAATTTCATTACCAATCGATTAGGGTATAACCTTATCGAAAAGCAAAGGAAACAATCCCTGAATCTCCAAAAGAAAGAACGCCTGAAGAGGAACGGTAAAATAACTACCAGTAGTTACCAATCAAGCCGGGTTGTTAAAATATGCACCAATTGGATAACGAAGCCGAGATGCACATGCAACCAAGGTCATATATGGTGTAATCAGGAAAAATTCATGAAATCCACCTCAACGGTTTTGATTCACAAAATCTCGAATGAAGTTTTAAGGTCATGATATCGGACAAACATCGAACACGAGGACCTATAAAAGTCAAAGCCCCTTGCTTAATAAAGAAGAAGGTGACCCCTAAAGAAATTAAAACTACTACCCGATCGACCTCGGGACCATCCATCTAAAGTTCATTCTCATGCCCCCTATCAAAGGAAAAAATCGACTAATAAGGGAGCACACACGAATCCTAACAAGACATGGGATAATTACTCGTCGCGGCTTTTCAAAATTTGAATAAATGAATCCATTTTCTAATATAATAACTCAAATACACATAATATTACAGTTGCTGTCGATGTGCCATAAATTCTCTTTGTGAAACAGGATCCTACGAGACAAAGCACACTAAGACACAACTGACGCACCCCATCTTAGGAGCTAGCCACTCCAAGAGCATAGGCGGTGGAGCCCATGAGACATCTACCTCGATCTGGGATAAAAACCTAGGGGCAGAGACGGGAACCTCCCATTTGGCAGGGGGCGGTTCCTTATGATGTAGAAGACTTATGTCAGCCCTCATCAACTAGAATGGGTAATGACAAATCTTAGTGATTATGCTAGCTTTCATTAGTTGGAACGGGTAATGAGTAAGCTTAGTGATTACACCCGTTCTCATCGACCGAGACAGATAACTACAAAGGTCAATAATTACGCCAGTTCCCATTAAATGGGACAAATAATGGCTAATTCCAAAAATCACACGGTCTTCCCTCCCCATAGGAAAAGACTTAGGGCGAAGTACAAGAGTTGACATAAGTCCTTTATTAAATGAAACAGATAAGTCAAAGTGCGACAAGGTTCTCTCGATCCCCATTAACATTGTCTGTGATAGCTAAAATGTTACGAACTTACTCAAAGCTGAGAATAATCTTGCCAATATAGCGCGAAGATAAACCTCTGATCCTGAAGATAATCTGGTGAAATATGCACCACATCGAATAAGTGGAAAAATAGTCGGCAAGAAGGCTTCTAAAGTCGATAATCAACAAAGAGCTATAACACCTTTATTTTATCTCAAGCGCTTGAATGAAGTTGCAAATGAGAAATCTTTAAGAACCATAACACTTCTTCTTCGAATCCGATAAGAGTCAACAACAAGTTTATCCAAGTGAACATGCACTCGTAAAAAAGGATAAAGCATTTTCCAAAGCTGCTACAAATCCTTTTACTTAGTTCTATCGGAAGAACCAACAAATTTAATACTTACATTTTTATAAAATCTTTCATGATGTTCTCTAATTAAATACTTATATTTCGTCAATAAATTTATATTTTAATTATAAACGATAAATATCACGAGTCTTAACATAAAATAAAAAAATTAAAAAAATAAATTAATTTTAAAATACATTTTCTCATTTGTGAATCAATTATATTTATAAATAAAATATCTCATATATATATATATATATATATATATATATATATATATATATATATATATATATATATATATATATATATATATATATATATATATATATATATATATATATATATATATATATATATATATATATATATATATATATATATATATATATATATATATTTAACCTCTCATCCCCTCTCATATTTCAAAAACATATATTTAACCTCTCTTCCCATCTCCTATATAAAAATGCCTGATTGAACCAAATAGATCATAAGAGATAACACTTCGGCGGCGTAACTGAATAGCAGTGTACCGTCAAGCGGTGTTGCGGTTATATTGTTGTTAGTGCAACTTGGTTTATAAATTTAAAATAAAATCTCAACCATTGAAGTTTATTTTGCTACGTGTCGCCCATCGGTTTATGGAACAGGACAGAAATTGGATTTTACAAACTGGAGCGGATCCAAACCCTTTAGGGTTTAGGGTTTAGGAGAAAGTTCTGAAGGTACTTCGCTCTGCAACTTGCGAAATTTCTATTGTTTTCGCCATTTTCCCTCTGCAACTCACTCGGGTATTCGCCTCTTCTATTCCTTTCGTTATCACTGCTTTCTCTTTCAACCCTAGTTTCCTATTATCTCTTTCTATCGTTTCTGCATATATGTTATAGGAAACTTCCACGATTCATTTTTGGTTTTTATGTTGAGAAAAAACTGTCAATTACGTGTTTACCATGGTTTTTACGTTTATGCATATATCTATACAGGGCCAAAATGGGTGAAGATAAACAACAAAGTATTCCCGCTTTGCCATGGATGCGAGACCCCGTCGACGTCTCTCTTTCTCAAGAACTACCCCTTAATTCCGTCCCTTCTCTCCACCCCAAGTACTACAATATCACTATATTGCAATTATTTCAATTTCAATTTCTGTTTTATAATTTTTTGTTTACAATTTTTCGTCAGGTTGAAGTCAGCATTGGAGGACATGGGAATCTCAAGTCTATTCCAAGTGCAAGTTGCAGTTTGGCATGAAACAGTTGGCCCTGGCAATTTTGAGCGAGACATTTGTGTTAACTCACCCACCGGAAGTGGAAAAACCCTCGCCTACGCTCTCCCTTTAGTGCAGATACTATCAGGCCGCATCACCAAATGCCTTCGTGCCTTAATTGTTGTCCCCACTCGCGACCTTGCTTTGCAGGTCAAACGAGTCTTCGACGCTGTTGCGTCTCCGTTAGGCCTGCGTGTTGGCTTGGCCGTTGGTCAATCGTCATTAGCCGGTGAGATTTCGGAGCTCGTTGACATGCCGGCACGTGATATAGGCATGTGCTATGATCCGCACTGCGTTTCGCTTCCTCGCTTTCAGAGTAAGGTTGACATATTGGTAGCAACCCCTGGTAGGCTTATGGATCACATTAATACGACCATAGGATTCACGCTTGAGCATCTTCATTATCTTGTAAGTCTGAATTCTCATTATTTTTTACTTTAAGCATACAATTAATGTTAACAATATATTTTGGTTTGGTTTTGTTTGAGTCTTTCCATTTCTTGTTTTTGATAATGTATATAATTGTATATGATATGATAATGAGGGTAATAAATAATAATGTAGGTGGTTGATGAAACAGATCGATTGCTTCGTGAGGCATACCAGTCATGGTTGCCTACTGTGCTTGAACTGACCCAATCTAATGATGATGGCTTTTTCCAACCGTCTGATTCTTTTTTCCCCTGTTCTGTTGGTGCATTAAGAACCAGAAGAAGATGGTGAGTTCAAGGCTATTTCACTTGTCTTTTGACATGTTCATCTCATGATTAATTAATAATTAAAAAGCATTCCTTGCCTGTGAGTTCCAAAATTTGTGGAGTGAGATGTAGGTTAAATCAGCAGCTGTTGCTCATCGATCACATATACTCTGATTATATCAATGATCTGAAAACCAATAGAAATATTTAAAATACTTTGTAATGAGTTGGATTGCTTTGTTTTTTTTTCCTTAGAATGGAGATTCCATTCCTATAATTCAGGCTGGTAAGAGAATAAAGCTACAACTTTTGAAAAAAAAAACAGATATTTGTGTCTCACATCTAATCCAACTAATAAGGACTAACGAGGCCTTTGAATATTCAACTTATCTAACCATTCCTTGGATAAGCGCTTATTGTATAAGCTCTTTTTACAATCGACGCGGGAATGAGGGTAAACTTTATGTAAGTTGATTTCAAAAGAGCTATTTGGAGGACTTTATGAAAATAACCTATATACATAACCTATTTTTATAAGCTTTTCCTAGTACTTTTGTGTGTATGATTATACATCAAGGTAAGCACAAACAAGCTTTTCCACGTGCTTCTTAACACTGCCTCTTTACTGCGTCTATATGTGTGTCACATGACAAACTTGTTCATGTTGAATTTCAATCATTTTATGTATTTGTATTGATCACATGCTAGATTCATGACTAGTTTGCACACTACAATATGAGTGACTATCGGAAAAGAATGAACAAACACCCTTTAAAGAAGTGAATGCCACCGAATTCTGATGATGAAAAATAAAGATGAAGCTTTTTTCTTCAGCATGATATAGCTATGCTCCATTGGTTGCCATCCATGATACGTAATTGCATTAAATTATTGGATTTTCTTAAAAAATGCTGTGATGTGTAGTGTCACCTCACCTGTATGTTCCACACTAAGAAATTCTTTGATCATAGTAAAGTTACTTTACCGTATTTACACCAGTGTTGTTAAATACCCAGTATAGCGCCGGTATACCGGTATTGTGTATCGGAATTTTGGTTATCCGATACGAAAGCCGGTATAACATTTCAATTTTGCGATGCTCGTAATATCGTCGATTTTCCGGTATACCGGTATACCGGTTTTGAATGGAATATCAGAAGCCATATTTTTATTATTATTATTTTATAATAAATCATTTTTAAAAACATTAAAGAGGGTAAGGTGAAGAGGTGGAAAAGTAGAAACATTAAAAAGGGCAAGGTGAAGAGGTGGAAACATTGAAAAAGGAAAATGCAGGCTATTGAGTCGGTGCCTAGTATTACACAACACTAGAAAGAGAGGATGAGAATGATGAGGAATCCCTTAATTAGGAAGCTGTTTTTAGAGCTTCAGGAGTTGGAGAGCCTACAAGATATACTAGGCAAACAACTAAAAAGAGAAAAGAAACAAGTGATTGAAGTGGAAGATCCTGTCGTCGAAGAATCAAAAGTAGAATTTGAGGATATTGATTCAGTTGTGTCTGTATATTGATTCAGATGATTCAATTGAAAAAGCTGAAGGATATGCCTCACTGTCTAAAAAGGAGAATAATGATTATGTTGGGGAAGGGGAAAAGGAGAATAGTTAAATCTTTTTATCATTAGTTAGACTTAGAAGAACTATTAGTTATTAGTTTGAACTATTTAACTGAGTTTTAATTCCTTTTAAATTTCTGTTTGTAGCTTTTCTGTTTTAGTTATTGGATTTGAAATTTTCAATTTAAATTTTGTTGAGTTTTTATTTCTGTTTTAACCGCTTTGCGGCTTCCGATATTTGGCCGCTACGCGATCCGATATTTCTCATATCGGTTTTTTGGTGATCCGATATTTTCCGATATTGATATTTGACAACACTGATTTACACATTGAAACTATGTTGATATAAGGCCAATTTTCTGGTTTTGAATTTGTATACTTCACATTTTCACATTAATAATAGTTTCAGTAGGCGATGTAATTCTTGACAATTGTACCCGAAACACTAATATTGTAAGATTGTGAGTTTGATTTCTAGATTTAATCTTCGACCCTGTTATAATCAGATTACAGTTTTAAACCCAAATGGATCATTATTTAGTCTTTTTATAGTTATTGTTGCCTTTATTTTTTCATTCAGAGTAATGAATGCTCATCATACTTTTTGTATTAATGCACACATTCATTAAAATTTATTATATTATATCATGTGTATGTATATTTCTGAAGTGGAGTTGAGAGGGGCTTCAAGGACAAGCCTTATCCCAGGCTGGCAAAGATGGTTCTATCCGCAACATTAACTCAGGATCCAGGCAGGCTTATTCAACTTAATTTGCATCACCCTTTGTTATTGAAAGCTGGAGAAATGCGTTACCGGCTCCCAAAAAATTTGGAATCCTATAAACTGGTATGACATTAAATAGGGCTTTTGTCTCACTTTTGTAGAGGAGTTATGCTCATTTCTTCCTTTCAATAAAATCTGCTGCGTTATCCATTTTTCTGAGTTTTTCTATCACATTATGTTATCGACAAATTCTATGATAGGAATGAATGACAATTGAGTTTGGAAAGCCAGCAGCTTCAAGGGAGGGGTGGAAACATCTTTCCATGTCCCTATGATCTGAGCCTTTCCGCAACACCTGATTAGGACCTGAATGGTTAGGCCAGAGAAAAAATTGAGAGTTAAGGCATTGATTAGATTAGGAACAGAGAGAAATGGTGGATCTAGATCTCTTACCTGGATAGTAGACCAATGGCAAAGGGCTTAAGTAGTTTAGTAGCCTTGCAGGGGATTAACTCATACGAGCTATGATTTGAACATTGCATTATTTGCTTGATAGATAGTTGAGAGGATGCATTTTATGAATATTTGAAGATATGGCAAAGGGCTTAAGTAGTTTAGTAGCCTTGCAGGGGATTAACTCATACGAGCTATGGTTTGAACAGTGCATTATTTGCTTGATAGATATTCTGTCTAAGTTGAGAGGATACATTTTATTAATATTTGAAGATATGAAGAGAGCAGTGATAGATTGCATATTTTCTGTTAGCATTTTGAATCACTTGGTCATCACCAGTGACTTATTTTATGGTGTTACTCATCATGCAACTTGGACCAAGTCTTATCTTCACCACAATTCACACACATGCGTATTTTCATAGACTTAAAAATGGATGAATAATTATCTGCAGCTCCCATGTGATTTTGAATTTTTTTTTGTAGGTTTGTGAAACAAAGGTCAAACCCTTGTATTTAATTGCCCTTTTGAAATCCCTGGGAGAAGAAAAATGCCTAGTTTTTACAAAATCGGTGGATTCCACATATCGTCTCTGCAAATTGTTGAATTGTTTTGGAGATCTGCAAATTGATATCAAAGAGTATTCTAGTCTTCAACATCAACGTGTAAGAAGGTAAGATTTATTCACACTAAATATTAAATACTTCAAGCAATGTATGATGCTGATTGCACCTGTTTACATAACACACAAAACTTGTTTGGAAAGAACCTTAGGTCTTTGAGGTTAGTGTATTTGGGTTAGCTTATCTTTAGCTCAAATTAACTTATAGTAAATAACTTACCAAGAAAACTTTTGAAAGAAAAGTGATTATTTTCCTATGTAAACAAAACATGTGAGGAAACTTGCTAATTTTCTGCAGTAAGACATTGAACGAATTTCGGAAAGGGATGTTTCAAGTGCTTGTATCTTCTGATGCGTTGACTCGTGGAATGGATGTTGAAGGGGTAAGAAATGTCATTAATTATGATGTGCCCAAATTCATAAAAACTTATGTTCATCGGGCTGGTAGGACTGCGAGAGCGGGCCAGGCTGGGCGTTGCTTCACATTGATGTCAGAAGATGAGGTATGAAGTTTTATCATCTTACACAGGCCTTGTTTTATGCTAGATCCCTGTTTCATAGCATTAGAGGCAATATAAGAAGCTACAATTGGAGCTTATAATAAAGGCTCTATTTAAATGCTTCAACACATTAATTATATCATTTCTACATTATAATTTTACTTATTAATCAAAGTTAGCTGTATACTAATATAAGATTAGGCAAATGGCTTCTCCTTGTGTAAATCACACAGTTTTTTAAAGGTGTCCAATAGGAACCTGATATGTTATTACACAAAATAAGAAAATCTCCTTCACTACAACACTGTAGAACTTACAACCTCTCCTCTTATTGATTGGAAAACACGTCTTATTTCTCAATGATCTGTCTTCTTTTTTGTTTAGTAAACCAATCAGGTATTGGGCCCAATTGAATCACAATCCAGAACCTGATCAACTTGGCAGCTTCCTTAGCATTAGAACTTACAATTCTACCAATATGTGTTTCTTTTTTAATTTCTTAATAAAATTAAGTATGATGTGTTATCTTCGTCACTACTCATCACTAATCTCTTTTATCAAAAAACAATTTAAACTTTCCATGTTCGTTCAGTAGCCATCGTTTTGTAACGGGTGTTGTTTATCACTGTTAGGATCTGTTGATGGTGGTGTTCTATCCCCTTTGAGTCAATATCATTTAACAACAACTAATGTTTTTCTCATTATGTGAGGCCGGCTATATGAATTAGAATTAACTTACATAAAAAACTCTGATGTACTCCCTCTGTTTCAAAATGACTGTTGTTTAAGGTTTTTGCACACAGATTAAGGAATACAATGATACTGTCATAAGATATTGCACTTTTACTAAATTAGTCTTATTAATGTGTTGGAAATAGTGTACAAAGTAATAATTATATGACACAATTGGAAAAATAACAATTATTACTACATTGAAAAATGAGAATATTCATTTTGAAACAAAAAATTTCCCCTAAATCAACAGTCATTTTGAAACGGAGGGAGTATAAAATCTAAAAATCTAAAGATAGACCATTTACCTCTAAAAATCTCTTGTGTTTCTCCTATAAAATTTCTTGGTATCCCTCTGCTTCTAACTATTTGATTTATCATGGTCACACTCCCTACTGGTGTTTTTTAATGAGTTTTCTCTTTGTATGTCCATGTCATCCAAGGCAAGACTCATATTTTTCCACAATAGGAACAGTCCAAATTTTCTCTATACTCACTCTGAATTATATATAATTTGTCAATACTACAAAGATCATAAATATACTTTTTTTTATTGTCTTTTTAAGATTTGGAACCCAAATCATTCTTTGAGCCAGTCAAATCGTATTCTATTCCAGGTTCGACGATTTAAGAAGTTAATGCGAAAGGCTGAGAGTGGTTCTTGTCTCGAGCATATTGTTCCGTTGAATCAAATTGAAGCACTCGGTACTACCTACCAATCAGGTAAAAATGTTTATCTCATTTTAGGGGTATATGCTTAAATGCCTTCTTATACCATGATTGACATTTAGGGGAGGGTTCTCTTTACTACATTTGTTTTTCTATAGAAAATTTCTAAAGAAAAATAAATTCTCTTGTGACTAGCTTTTAACACTTCTTGATGTTCTTTTCCTTTATGCTGTTTTGGATTTACTTTGAAGTTTCATTTAGTCAGTGCAATTTCTAATTTTTGTTTGTTGGCAGCACTTACAAAATATAAGGAGATAATTTCAAAGACACGAAAGAAACCCAAGGCTTAGAATCTTCTCAGTTGAGCACAGAGAATGAAAACAGAACCATTCATGGAAATAGTAAAACTTATTTATGAACACACAGGGGAAAAGCATGCTAGTTTCATAACTTCAAAGTTATCCCTTGAAATATTCACCTAAATGAATGTTCTACAGTGGAAACGGCATGCTGAATCCTTCAGCACATGAACTCACGTTATTGGAGGATATTCCCAGTGCTGTTCGTTATCTTGTATTTCTTGAGGTATTTTGTACTAGTTTATTTTTTTGTCGGGGTAGATGTATGAGATAAACAGTTTTGTATCAATGATGATGATAAATGTTCATACCAGTTGAATATTACATTTTTTTATACTTTTTGGTTTAGATACAGTTAAAAGTTTGCATTATGAATTTTGTTTTAGCTATGTGATCATGAAAAATATGAAATTATGGATACGTTCCATAAAAATCCTGTTTTGCATATGATATCTTGTTGTGCGTATGAAAACTGACAGTAATGGATTTCTAATTGACAATGAGTAAACCTTCATTTAGGAACTTAAACCATCACTCTCTCTCTTAATTGAGCATGCCATGAAATTTTGGATTCCTCAATTTAAGTTACATAATAAAGAAAGAGGCTATTACACAATTGATATGCATGCCAAAACCTCTGGCAGATTAAGTTTTTAATAGATAGAAATTTATGATCCCGTACATCATAAAAAAACAGATGCTGGATTCCCTAATGTTACATTACAGTCTTAACTATCCCTGTTCATAGAAAATATTAAACAGGACATCAAAAAGAAGCAGCTGATGAAATATTATAGGTTGCCCTGAAGTGCTTCAGTGATTCAAACTAGAGAGCTTTCTATGAACTTCCTTCAGAAAGAACCTAGTATTAACAGTTGCATTGGTAGAAGAAGAGGCACAAGCAGAAGCAGAAGGTGATGAAGCTGAAATTACACTATCATTTAAGCTAATTTCCCTATCCTCTTCAGTAATTGTTTCCATCATCTTTGTTGTTCTACGTCTCATCACACTAACATATTGTGGTGGTGCCACCTCCATGAAAAACCTTGCAATGCGAGAATTTGCCATTCTTGATGTGAATTAATTTCAAGTGTATAAAAGGGGAATGAAAATAGAGTTGAAGTTGTTTTGTATATTGAGGATGTGTATGAAGCAAAAGGACATGGTTCAATTTATAAGAGGTTGCTAGAAGTAACTAACTAGGCTTAAATTGAGTCAGTGGTCTTAATCTTTAAGGGTTAAATCTATTTTTATTGGCTAGTGCCGCCTCCAGCTTTTGCTATTAAATGTGATGCCAAACTGGCTCACAAGACTTTTTCTATTGTGGGACAGTGTTTGCTATGTGTCAGAACTTGAATGGAATTTCTAATATCCTTTAAGATATGGTTTTTGTTGGCTACATTAAGTTCCAAATTTGTACTTTTCTTTAAGACTTCCCAATTTCCCTCATTTTTTTGTGAAAATTCAAAGGAATTATATTAATCGTACAGATGTATGTTGGGTTTTATTTGAGTGGTTTTGACTTGTTTTGGTTGAGGTATTCTCAGTGTACTCCTTCCACTTGTGTTAATTTCGTCCTCCCAATGGATAAAATCTCTTCTCATTTCAAACATGATGTAATGATATCCTGGGATGACATATATAATTGTTTTGAAATTAATACTTTTGATCACGGAATCACATGGAGAAACCAACGTCTACTATCATAACTAAACTCCATAGTTTCCTTTTCATTTTTATTCCAAAAATAGCGTGTCATTCAGGGCATATACACAACTCACTCAACTTCCATCACAAACATACATAGTCGTGGATAAACTAGAGTCTAGAGGATAACACTTCACAGATTGATAATATTTTCAATGCTAGTATAAAGCACTTTAACTTAGTTTGGAGAATATATGTGTAATTTAATAATGCTGTGAGATAATAGAATAATATCGAACATTATGTGACATAGGAGTTGGAGTTAGTTAGAAGGTTGGTGTGTAGTGAAATTAGTTAGTTACTTTTTCTTCAAGTAATTTCATTTTAGCATAAAAGACATTGGATGATATATTGTAATAACTCAATTTAATAGTATACCTTCATACTCTCTCTTAATCATCTTTCTATGAATCTAAATGCAACTAGAGTTTGCACTGATAAATTGGTATTCAGAGCATTTTGGTACGTGGCGAAAAATTCACAGTTTTTGGATGGTGACGTACATCTGTTTCGATGATGAATGGTGGTAATGAGATTAGGGATGGCAACGGGGCGGGTTTTACTATACCCGCACTTGCACCCGCCTCCATGTAACACACCCGACCCCGTCTCCAAATCCAACCGGAGGTAAAAATTTATCGCCCAGACCCGCCCCTAGTAGAGAACAGGTGCACCCGCACCCGTCCCCACCTGCAAAAAATTAATTTCTTTTTAATTGCAATAAAAATTAATAATTTAATTAAAAAATTGATTATTTTAATAAATTAATTATTTATTTAATTAAAAATTTAATTAGTAAATGAATATTAATTTGATTAATTTAATTCTTTTAATTGTAATAAAGGTATTAATAATTTAATTAAAAATATAATTAATAAATAAATATTAAAATTAGATAATTAAACTAAAATGCATTATTCGGGGGCAAGGAAGGCCAGGTGCGGGCGGGTCTTAGTGTCTCCCTGCACCCGTACCCGTAATTAAAAGTCGGGTTTTTCCCGCACCCGTACCCACTTAAACCGGGTTTTCCCCGCTAATTTCGGGGTGGGTCCCGACGGGTCTGGGTTTTTTTGCCATACCTAAATGAGATTCCACATTCCTTTTGCATTCTTGGTGGTACGACTCGGACCGTTGACACAAACATATGAAGTCTCTATTTGGTTTTCAAGAAACTTAGACGTAGTTACCATGGCGTGTCGGAGCTTGCAGTGAATGCTATTGAAACTCAACGAAATCTTTACCAGGATTCTAAGAAGGAAAATTGTAAGACCTTGTTTTGGATCAAATATGCAATTGATGGTGAAAATTTCAATCGAATAACTCATGTCGAATCTTCAAAAGAGGTATGTGATATTCTTGTCAAATACTACGAAAGATGTAATATTCCATGTCACTTAGACACTCTAATCATTGTCGATTGGGACACACTGAGTTCTTAAATGCTCTATTAGTTGCCAATTGCTATAAATTAGGACAAATAGAATAATTAGTAAACTCAGAAGAGATTAATTCTCACTCAATTAGCTTAATCTTTATTAATAAGTAAAAAAGTAACATTTTTGTAGCACGATTATTGATAATTTGTTACTAGAGACAAATTCTTTGCTCTAGATATTTTCTCTTACCCTCTCTTACCACTTATTCCATCCTATTGTTGATAAGAGAAAGAAAAGAAGAAAAGAGAAAGAAGAGAAGAAAAATAGAAAGAAGAGAAAAAAAGGGAAAAACTTGGAAGAAGAAAGAAGGAAATTGAATCATTAATATTTTATCTCAAACCTCTCATCATCTTCATCTACCAAGGTGGGTTCTAGGTAGAGTTAGCATTAGGAAAAATTTCTTGGAAATGGGGTTAGGGTTTATGTGTAGTTGCTTAATCATGAAATTATTGTTAATACATGATGATTTTGTTGTTGTTCATGCTTCTATGTGTTATTCCATGACCCCTATATGTTATTTTGGTGTAATATGATTATTTGTGGAATTGTGTTGTTCATTTTCCCTTATCCTGTCACATTTTTCCATTGGCTAGATTCTGGCATCCTCGCTAGGCTAGGGCACAACTTGCTAAGCGATCATAGCAGCAATTGGAAGTAGAATATTTTCTACTAGCCTCGTTAAGCGAAGGATGGGCTCGCTAAGCGAGCAGGGTGTTTGTGAGGAAATGTGGTATTCTGACTTGCCTCGTCTTAGCCTCACTGGGATCTCGCTAGGCGAGAGCTCGCTTGGAGGGCTTGTTGGACCTTGCTAAGCGAGGAAGGGAAAATACAGACACTTGATCAATTCTATTTTTCTATTTCTACCATAAAACATGAATCATAGTTCCGATTGGCATGAGGTCGGATACGTTGGAATAACGTTAATTTCATGTTATGGAATGCATGAATATGTTATATCATGATTGGGAATGGTTGGAATGATTAGAGGTTGAAGAAGAGGGATTTTCAAGTGAGATGTTGGAGATTTATGTCCTGTCACTTTTACTCAGCGACTGCATTTCTCGCTTAGCAGAATCTGTAGATATGAGAAATTCTAGTAGAATTGGAGATAACTTATCTTGAGTTTCATAACTCGAAATGAGACGCGGTCGGATGCTTCAGAAAACTTGTTTAAAGATATATCTGATGATGATGCTTGATGATACTTATTTTCATGTTTACTCTTGGTGATTTGATTATATTTTCCTTTGCTTATGTGTGCTTTATGACTTATGTTATAATATGTTTGCATTGAATGAATAATAATGGATTAAAATCTATGATAATGAGGGAGGTTAAACATAGGTTATTAACTAAGTGGATATGATTAGTAAAGATAACTTAGGTTATGAAGATGTCTTAGGTGTAATGCTTGAACGCGAAGGTACCTCAGTGTGTACCGCAAACCAGTAGTCACTTAAATTATGAATTAATAGGCCTTGTATGGAACATGTTATGATGATATGTGAATTGGTGAAAGTGATAACCTAGTTAATAATGAGTGGAATCACGTTAAATGTGGAACCTAATCATGTATTAAAAAATATCCCTTAATCGTGTACATTACAATTGAGATGCTTATGTAAAGTAGAATTGAGATGTAATGTTGGGTGTGAACATGGGAGTAGAAAAACGGTCTAGATGGGGTGAATAGACCCAAATAAAATTCAACCACCGTTTACAAAAACTATCAAAGTATTTTCAAATTTTGCAAGCGGAAGTTTTAATGTGAAAATGTGAAAGTTATACTATTCAAAATTTTGATCACGTTAACACTAAATCGTTTCACAAACACCAAAGATGAATATG